GTGGGGCGGTGCACATTTTGTGTCAACTGGACTCTGGCGGCGTGCTGGGCTCTGCCGCACGCGGATAAATCTGCAATTGTGTAAACAAAAGGAGGTCGCCGTGCCTTGCATACATACGCGGTGAGTCTCTCATGAGGTCTTTGGGATGCAAATACTCCAGTGAATGGCTCACAGCCTGATGATCCTAGACTGAGGCCTCCACCGCTGCAGCATGGCGTCTCTTTCGATGTTAGATTCGGAGGCTGCCCTGAGGGCCCGTGCAAGGGACCATGGCATTCCCGACGAGGTGGTCGATGCCATGGTAGGGCGGAACATCACCTCTTTGAACCGAGTAGCCTTTGCCTTGACCCAGCCCGGCACGAGCCCCGATGAATCGGACTTGCGTGCATTTGTAACGTTGCCCGCCGGAGATCCCAACCTTGTTAGTCAAGGCCTGCTGGCGGCGGCTAGGCGGTTGGTTTTTGAGGCCCAAACTTTACATGTTGCGCAGCTTAAGCAGCAAGTCGAGGGTTCGGATGCCAAGCCCAAAGAATTGCCTGCTGAAGAGAGGCGCTATCGTCTGTCAGCACAGGAGCGCCGCTTGAGCGGCATGGTCTTGCGCGGGCCTCTTGAGGTTGCTTACTCTGCATATGACATTGTAGTCAAGATGTTGGCCGACGACCACATAACTTATCTCGCTCCTCACCGCTTTTCCACCCGCATGTTGGAAGTGCAGCAAGATCGGCCCTCAAAATCCATTGTCATTGATGCAACGCAGCACCTGCAGGTGAAAGACACGGCCTCGCAAAAGCCTCAGGTGGACCTGCCCGACGCACTGTCGCTGACACAAGCAATGACGCGCCGCAGTCTAGCACTTGACCTGGTCGGCGCTGCGACTTTCTCCCGCGCTGAGGCCTGGAATCGAGTGCTGGTTCAGCACTTGCAACAGCCACCACCGCCCGGCTTTAAGTTCATGGATACCGCGCAGCTTCTCCGTGCCGACCGCGCGGGTTGGTTGCATATGGCCCAGGTCCTCACTACTCTGAGGCGCGGGAGTGATGGCACATTGCCGATGGATGCCGCTTTTGATTCCTTGCCCACTGTGCCGGCCATCATGTTTCATCTTGCTCCACAGCAAGGTGGGCGTGCT